GGCATAGTGGGAATCGGGTATCGTGGGAATGCATGAAAGGTGGGCATAGTGGAATCTGAAGGAGGTGGGCATCGTGGGAATATATGAAAAGTGGGCATGGTGGGAATCTAAAGAAGGTGGGCATCGTGGGAATGTATGAAAAGTGGGCATAGTGGGAATCCAAAGAAGGTGGGCATGGTGGAAATTGAGCATCGTGAAAATGTACGAAAAGTGGGCGTGGTGGGAATTGGGCATCGTGAGAATGTATGGAAAGTGGGCATGGTGGGAATCTGAAGAAGGAGGACATCTTGGGAATCTAAAGAGGTTGGGCATGGTGGGAATTGGGCATCGTAGGAATGAATGAAAAGTGAGCATGGTGGGAATTGGGCATGGTGGGAATTGGGCATCGTGGGAATATATAAAAAGTGGGCATGGTGAGAATCTTGTGTTTTCTGAATTTTTCTCTTGACCTGGCAACGTTGCGCTCTTCGGCAATTTTCGTAATCGTCGACATGAAGGTGGGCATCATAGGAATTGGGCATCGTGGGAATTGGGCATCGTGGGAATTGGGCATCGTGGGATGTTCCCGTGCAGATCATTCAATGAAAATGATAACAAAATGTGTTTGCATTCTCATAATCATGTGCAACGCTATTATCTTCCAGCGATTCGGATGGAAGGCATCTGTGGATTAAATTGAGATTATAGTTATGTTATTGAATTGTTTTTGACAAGTTGAATATTGAAAATATGGTTTGTTAATCTCACATACAATTGGAAACATTTCGAACAAATATAAGGATTTTTTTTTTGAAATTGAACCTACCAATTCTGAAATACAACTTACCATTTCTGAAATTGAATGGACTTTTTCTGAAATTCATCTCACCGATTCTGAAATTGAGTTTACCATTTCTGAAATCGAACTAACCAATTCTGAAATCGAGATTACTTTTTCCGAAATTGAAGTTGAAAAAATATAGTAGAATGGATCTAAAATTGAGTGTGTAATAGGTCAAAAGTAAACTTTGTTCAAACCGAACTATGGAGTCAACTCTACCAAACTGAAGTGATAAAAGGGGGTCCAATAAAAGCAACATAATTATATAACATAAATCTGATATAGAATATCATGATACCTAGTGTTCTTGAATATAATCACATTTACAATAAATATAACAATCATCAGAAACATGAAGGATTCTATTTATTGATCAAATCCTATCCCTATATATTATGAATGCATAGATTTCAGACATCCTATAAAAGTTATCATAAGGATGTCCATGACAGATACCATATGGATGTCCATAACGGATACCATATAGATGTCTATGACGGACACCATATGGATAGCCAAAAAGTCGGAAACGCGATATCCTATGGATGTCCATACGTCATCCAGTGAACACAAACCGGATATCCTATGGATGTCCGAGATGTCCAGAGGAGGATGTCTATTGAAAGTACATTGAATCGAGTTGTGTTATTAGGGAAAATGAAGCAGATCAACGTATTCGAGTACTCGAGGATCGAGTTGAGGATCATAGTGCAAAGATTCAGTAGAAATGCAAGAACAATCACTAGCAAAATAAGATTATATGATTCATTATATTATTGATGATGTGAAATAATTACTAGGAAAAAAATATCAACTGTTCTGAATCTTCAGACCATACGGATGTGAGAGTAAGACTCTCACAAGAATATTTATAACCAAGCTTGTTGAGATATACGGAGATTATAAGGGAATACAGAGATGATCACTTACAAAAAAACTCATAGTCAAACTGTCAATATTGATGAGAAAATGACAGCAGCTGAGGTGTTCCAGCCACGTGAAAATTGTAACGTTCAATTTCCACGTTAACTCATTTCGTTACACAACCAAGAAAAATAAAATAAATAAAACTCGCCTTTCGATCACCCTGTACCTAAATTTATTTATTGTTATTCTCACATCACAATGAACGCAAAAAAAGGTATTCTTCTATCCGTCTTTCGTGTGATAGGTATTCCTGAAGTAGATCTGTGTGTCTAACAGGTTTTTCGGCACTGCTTCCAAATAATGGCTCACCTGGCTTTCGTAGCATTTCAACACACTCATCGATTCTTTATTCATTGGTTTCGGTGTAGTTAGCGCCGCTATGAACCCTGAAAACATATAAACATAATTACTAACTTAGGTATTGATCAATTGAGTATGGTAGCAGACTATAGGCGAGATTGTATAGAGACTTGTAAGATGTACTAAGTTGACTTTCAGACTTACCAGATAGTTGGTTGAATCCAATGTTTATTCGCTTCTAATCGTATCAGGCTGGTATAATCGAAGAATATTTGGATACGATTTATTTTTCTTTGTTTACACAGCGAGCCCCTAACAACACGAGTACATCCTAGGGACTTCCCAGGGACGTCCCTAATTTTATACTAGGACATCCCAGGGATATTGTGTGTCGGGACAAAGTACATACTAGGGACGTCCCAGGGACATCTACTTTCAGACGAAAAGGACATCCTAGGGATGTCCTTCCGGTACGTCCCAGGAATGTACCGAGTACGAAGAAAGGATATCCCTAGGACGTCCCAAGGATATTCTAGGGACATACCTTCGACAAAAGAAAAAAAATGTAGGTCGAGCTGGGATTGAACACGGGACCTTCAGCTTATCAGGCACGCACCTTGCTCCATTGGCTATTGTGCCTTTTGAGGATTCATGTACTAAACAAATTTATAAACAGGACTGTACTACAGAAAACTGTATAAATACAACTCTGTTTTGGGATTTGGGTATAATTATTATTATTCATGGGTATTTAAAAATGAGGGGCATTATGCATTTGCGATTTCTGTTTGCGAAAAATGGTCATTTCTCAACAAATTCTGAGACTATATTCTTTATTTTCATTACAATTATTTTCAAGAAAATTCAACTCAATATTTTATGAAATTCAATGACTCCGATATGTGAATGGATATCAGATATTTCAGGAACACGAATAGGATAACCTAGGGATGTACCGAGCGGGATGTCCACTGGACAACCATTGCGGGACATCCCCTGGATGCCCCAATCATGTCCTTGTGCCGTGGGACAAGAAAAATGGACGTACCTATAGGACATCCCTGTTGTTAGATAATGCGAAACGCACTTAATAGACAGAATTGTGAATGTAATTTACAATTTCATGCTAGAGGAAGAGTCAGTTTTCAGCAATTTCGTATGGAATATTTTCATAATTCATTATAATGATCAATTTAAACAAAAAAAATTGTATGTATCGGTACCTAATTACAATTGAGATCGGTATCTAGGTAGATATAGGTATAGAAAATAAATACCAACTTCGAATTTTTTAAAGAACAAGAAGTTTGATGATTTGTAATTATTTCATAATCATCTGGGACACGAATGGGACAACTTATGGATGTACCAGATAGGATGTCCACTGGACAATCACTGCGGGACTTCCTCTGGATGTCCCATTCGTGTCCTTGTACCGCGGGACATAAATGGGACGTCCCTGGGACATCTATGTGTTGTTAGGGGCTGCTGTTTGTTACATCATTTGACTTGACATCATGACATACATGACATTATTGTCATGGGCGTCAAGTGATGAAGTCTGATTTATGACAGACGTGAAAGAGCTGGGCGCTGATCATTCGTATCGATCCATAAGTAAGTGCCAATCTCTAATGCAGGGTTGCCATATCTGGAAATATAAATTCCTGGATTGTAAAATTATATTTCAGCGGATATAGCTACGTATACCTACTCACCCGGTTTGCTGTATGAAGAGTACCAGACTGCTGTTCATCAAGTCTTTCATCCTGAAGGGAATGTTAGGCGGATAGGTTACTTTCTTTAGTGTCGACATCTATTGCACCAAGATGGGGTGACGTCACCATAGTTCATTGTTCTGTGGGCTGCTTTTGACAAGTGGTTGCTCGAGGCGACACCTGTGGTGTTCTGGGGGTATTCATTCATTCGACTTCTAGTGGTTGAGAGTTAGAGTAATGGCGAAACGTTAGTCACAAAATTCTTGATTATTGGTATCATCCTGCAAGGGGATTACTTTTGTTGACTATATTTACCGATGTCGGTGTCAGTTGGTTGATATTTTGTGGATATTTTGGAATGCTGACCCAAATTGGACTCGTTACGAGGATCTGAAGTTTCGCCAAACTCTCTCACGTGAAGTTATCAGAGCTGCTCCCTCAGGATACCAGTTGTATATTTAGGTATGTGGACTACCTTTTGCATTTTTTTTTGTGTTGTGCTATCTTTGTGGTGATCCCGTGTTTCCAGAATCTAACGAAGCATTTTTTTTCTTGTCGATAGAATTCATGGTATCGTCATTTCCTTAAGGACAGATGCAATAAGGCCTATTATCACTTACCAGATGTTGATCCACCCGTTTATGCACTGTCGACGTTATTGACATAAATAACAAAAGGATAAAACAAACCTCTTGGCCAGGGTAAGTTGATTTTCCTAAATATTTCATGGAGAATTATTGATTCTTTTTTTTATGACTTGGGAAAAATCACAGGACAGTCTGTGAGTAACAGCTTGTTATTTTTCGAACGTAGCTGGTCTAGTTGTTCCTATTTTTCTAATATTATACAGTGAATATGACTGGTTATTTCATATCATTCTGAAATACATTTGACGCTTTCTGAAATTGAATTGACTATTCTGAAATACAATTGACGCTTTCTGAAATACAAGTGACTATTCTGAAATTAAATTGACGCTTTCTGATATACATCTGGAAAAGGTGTAGAAGATCTGCCACATTCGCTGACTTGCTAACTTTGCCAAGTTTGCTGTATTTGCTAAATTGACTAACTTTGTTAAATTTGCTAAATTTTCTAGATTTGCTAAATCTGCTAAAATTGCTAAACAGGCCAAATTTGTTAGCTTTGTTAAATTTGCTGAATGTGCTAGGGATCCCAGATTTGCTAGATTTGTAAAATTTTATAGATTTGCTAATTTTGATAAATTTGGCTAGATTGGCCAACTTGCAAGGTCTGCTAGGTTTGCTGGGATTGCTAAATTTGCTACATTTGCTAAATTTGCTAAATTTGCTAAATTTGCTAAATTTGCTAAATTTGCTAAATTTGCTAAATTTGCTAAATTTGCTAAATTTGCTAAATTTGCTAAATTTGCTAAATTTGCTAAATTTGCTAAATTTGCTAAATTTGCTAAATTTGCTAAATTTGCTAAATGTGCTAAAATTTGCTAAATCCGCTAAATTTGCTAAGCTACCTACTAAATCCTCTAGTTGGTGTATAATTTGATGTTTTATATCCCGAATTTAAATAAGCTTGTTTCTTGTCTCTATTTATTGATACTCCCTGGGTGGACTTGTGAGTGGAAATTATTGTGCGCGCGGTATCGTTAAGTCGGAGGCCATATCTACCCCAAACCTGCGCCTGAGCTCATGCGCTGCGTTTTGCCCTTCCGTGACACACTAATATACTTGGCTGCGGCCCTTTAATTTCTACGCTGCCCTTTCCTTGTACTTGCTGCATGTTTAGGTGACTTCAAGGCTGTTGTTGCTATTATCGGTCACTGCTTAGTTGGCATTGGTGTTCGGATTTATATTTTTTTTTTGATAAAAGTTGGTACTGAGGCTCTGAACTGTCTCATCATTGACAGTTTTTTTTTTTTTTATGAATTGTAAATCTGTCGTCAATAATCACATTCGAGGGTGACCCGTATTTTATTTGATATATTCGACCTTTGTGATAACTTAGCCTCAATCTTGATTTGGTGAATTTGAAAGATCGAGTTTGATCAACGAAGGGTATTTGCACGGGGTAAATTCGCCTGGCGCCCATTCAACAACATATTTTCTAGTTATTTTTTTTAACTTTCCCTACAACGAACCTCCCCTTCTTCGGCTGTGGCTGGTGCGGATGCCCACTTGTTATTCAACAATAGTGGTCTAGTGACCTTGTGCTTAGCACGATTAGTTAGGTTGCATTTTTGGCCCCAATTTGGGGCCTCCAAAGAAAAAGTAGGGTTACCTAGAATGTGTGATAGATTTTTTTTCTCTCTTCGATTTTTTTTTTTGTTTTGTTTTGTTTTTTTGTTTTTTTGTTTTCGTGATCTGGTTTCACTTGGTAGTGTCTTCTGTAATCTTTATCTCTAAACATGGCTCGCCGTCTCCAACTGAATCGCCTCAACCAAGAGGAGTTGAACTATTTGGTCACGATTAGAGGTATAGCTACTAGTACTGTGGAGGAGATACGGCACACGTTGGCGATGGCATTGAGATTAGAGAAAAGTGGGGAGACAGTCTTGTGGCCCAAATATCCATTCACGCTGGAAGAAGATGTCGCAGCAGTGAAGGATAGGTTGAGCAAATTGGAACCACTTGTCAACAATTTCAAGGACTCTTCAAGCAGTGGTACCTATCTCAAGTATGAGGCAAAACTGCAGTATGTTCTGACTCGTATAGATTATATTGATGAATCTTCAGGTGATAGACCGGTCATGCTAGCCAAAGCCTTTTCACTTTTGGAAAGTTTGCATCAAAAGGCTGTTGACTTCGAAGCAGCCTTGAATGTTCCAGCTCAACTCAACCTATTACAACAGACTACTAGTTTCGCAGCTGGAATATCTCAAGTACGAAGATCTTCAAGTATACCTGCTGGTCCGGTTCCTTCTTCTCAGCCGTCTAATGTCAAACCGTGTTACCTAGCAAATGGGATATAAAGTTTTCAGGGGACAAGAAGGGTCTTTCCTTGAGCGCATTTTTAGAGCGGGTCGAGGAGTTGCGGGTGGCACGTCATGTTTCCAAGGAAACTCTACTCGAATCGGGGATAGATTTGTTCACAGGCAGAGCCTATCAGTTCTATCTGGCATATCGTCATGAAGTGGGCTCGTGGGATGAACTGGTTAGTTTGCTTCGCGAGGAATATCTAACTCCCAACTACAACGAAAAATTGTTTGATGAGATACAAAAGCGAACTCAAGGTCCGGATGAGTCGATAGGGATTTATTTGGCCGTGATGACGGGTTACTTTAATAGGCTTACTTGTACGGTCCCGGAGGAAACGAAGTTGAAGGTTCTCATGAAGAACATAGCCCCATTTTATCAGAATCAATTGGCGTTAGTTGACGTTACCTCCATTTCTCATCTCCGTGAGTTGGGTAGGCGTCTGGAAGCCCGGAAAGAGGCTGTTGAAAATTTTGTTCCACCGTCCAGGAAAAGTAGTGCTTTGGAAGCTAATCTGGCCTATATTGAGGTAGGAGTTCCAGTCGATAGTTGTCAGACAGTTGTTGGTAGCAACGATGAAGTGGCGGCTGGCCCCTCTACCGAGATTATATGTTTTCGCTGTAATAAACCAGGACACAGAGCCATAGGATGTGCGATGAAGAGTGGCAAGTTTTGTTATAGGTGTAAGAAGGAAGGAGTGACGGTGAAGAGCTGTCCAGTATGTAACCCTCAGGGAAACGCGCGTCGGCACTTCTAGGTGATCGTAATGGACGTGCCGATGAAAAACAATCGATCGATAGATTTCAAATTCTTTTAGACTACGTGTTAGATAATGCAGTGGATGATGAGAGGCCCTATCTATGTGTAGAGGTGTTAGGAAAGTCATTGTTGGGACTGCTGGATTCTGGAGCTTCGAGAACAATACTGGGTGCCAAGGGACTGGAAATTATTAGGGAATTGGGGTTACCGGTTGATGGTAGTAAGACAACTTCATGCACAGTTGCGGATGGCAAGCGTTGTCAGAGTTTAGGGGTTGTAGAGTTGCCTGTTTCGGTGAGAGGTAGGTTTCGATTGGTGGAGTCGATTGTTGTCCCAGAGTTACCGCATTTATTGATATTGGGGGCAGACTTCTGGAGGGATATGGGGGTAGTGCCAGACCTTCGCCATAATGAATGGCACTTCTCCAATGAGCCAGTGGTTGTGAATGCACTGCAGCATGTTAGTGGACAGACCTTATTGTCTCCGTTAGAGAAGGCGAGGCTGCAAGCGGTCATTGACCGGAATGTCACGTTAATGGGTGATGGTTTGGGTTGTACCACTAAGGCTGAGCACACTATCGTCACGGATAGTCCTCCCATAAAACAGCGGTATTACCGCGTGAATCCATTAGTCCAGAAGCAAATCGATCATGAGTTGGAGGAAATGCTCAAATTGGGAATCGTGGAACCATCCAACAGTCCGTGGTCGTCCCCTATCCTACTAGTCAAGAAGAAGGACGAGTCCTTTCGATTTTGCGTGGACTTCCGAAAATTGAACTCTGTTACGGTGCGTGACAGTTATCCACTATCTTTGGTATCCGACACGCTTGATAAACTCCGTGATGCCAAATACCTTTCCAGCTTAGACGTCAAGTCGGCATACTGGCAGGTACCGATGGCAGAGTCGTCCAAGCAGTACACGGCCTTCACAGTTCCGAACAGGGGTTTGTTTCAGTTTCGTCGTAAGCCGTTCGGCCTACACAATGCCCCGGCCACTTGGCAACGGTTGATCGACAATGTTCTTGGCCATGATCTTGAGCCGAATCTTTTTGTTTATTTAGACGACGTCGTCATCGTAAGTCAGACACTCGAGCACCATCTAGAGCTCCTGGATGAGGTTTTTCGCAGGTTACGGGAAGCCAATATCACCATCAGCGTGGAGAAGTGTCAATTTTGCCGTCCTCCTACGTTGTTGATAGGAATGGGTTACACGTAGACCCAGACAAATTCAAGGCTATGATGGAGTTGCCAGCACCTTCTAATGTGAGAGAAGTTCGCATGGTAGTTGGAACTTTCAGTTGGTATAGGAGGTTTATACCAGATTTTTCCTCGATTATAGCCCCGATTACGGCACTTCTTAAAAAGGGTAGCAAGTTTTGTTGGAGTGAGGAATGTGGGCGTTCGTTCAAGTTAATTAAGGAATGTCTTGTAGCCGCACCTATATTGAGTTGTCCAGACTAGACGAAGCCCTTTATGGTCCAAACGGACGCGTCTGGTTATGGTATTGGGGCTGTCCTCACTCAGCCACATCCCGAAGGTGACAAGGTAATTTCATATCTCAGTCGATCGTTGACACGCCAAGAGCGTAACTTCACTACTACCGAGAGAGAATGTCTCGCGGTTTTATGGGCCGTGGAAAAGCTCCGTCCGTACTTGGAAGGCGTAGCTTTCACAGTTGTTACGGATCATTACTCACTCCTTTGGCTTCACAACCTCTAGGACCTCACTGGGCGTCTGGCACGTTGGGCTGTACGCCTTCAGCAATATCAGTTTAAGGTGATTCACCGCAAGGGTAAGGAACATGTGGTTCCCGATATACTTTCGAGGACCGTCCCTGTGATTGATGGAGATGATGAAACTACTCCTAGGATAGATTCGTTGGTTGTTGGAGACCTATCTGATTTCGAGTTAGCTAATGGTGATAGGTGGTACCAATCGATGATAGACCGTGTTAGGAAAAATCCTTTGAAATTTGGAAGTTGGCGGGAGAGTGATGGTAGGCTGTGGAAGCAGGTGAACATTGATTACCCTGATTTATCGTCTAGTTCTGACTCGTGGAAAATTGTCGTTCCCAAAGGAGACCGTCTTGGACTCATTGTCAAGGTCCATGAACCTCCCACTTCAGGTCATGGTGGGGTCTATAAGACATTCGCTAGGATTTGTGAGAAGTATTATTGGCCGAAAATGCGGAACGATGTGGCTAAGTCTGTCAGACGTTGTGAGGTTTGCCTAGCTCATAAAGCATCAAATAGCCAACCCTCAGACAAGATGATTTCCCACCCGAAGGTTGATAGGCCATGGGAAATGATTTCTACCGACTTGATGGGACCTCTTACCAGGTCCAAACATGGCAATTGTTTCCTATTGGTAGTTACAGACTATCTGAGCAAATTTTCACTGTTATTTCCCTTGAGAAAAGCTACTAGTACAGCTATTATTCGAAAAATCGAGAGCGAGGTATTTTTATTGTTTGGTGTTCCGAGAATTATTATCTGTGACAATGGACCTCAATACCGCAGTAGGGAATTTATTAAATTTGCTGAGAAATACGACAGTCATATAAAGTTCACCCCTAACTATCACCCTAGAGCTAACCCGACGGAAAGGGTAAATAGAGTGATCAAAACGATGCTATCCATGTATGTCTCCGATAACCATCGCTGTTGGGACGAACATCTTGACAAAATTGCCTGTGCGATTCGCACGTCCAAACACGAAACAATGAAATTAACTCCATATTTTGTCAACTTTGGAAGGAAT